CAAGGTTTTTTTTTTTGAAAGGCAGTACCTGCTTATTTATACACGTTAAAAAAAAAGACAAAACATAAAAAATAAAATTCAGGCATTACTTTACATTAAAGGACTTATGGGATTTAGAAAATTAAAGAAAAATGATAATAGACAAGAAGCATAACAAAAAATCCCAGTCTGCTATTTTTCGAAAATTTTTGTACAGATTCTATGTTTTATCAAACGTTTTTAAGTATGCAAACTATATACATATATACATGTATGGAAATATTGAATTTAGACAAGCAGAAAGTAGATACTTCAACTAAGTAAACTTGCAAGAATATGAGATATCGTACAGGTTAACGAAATATTACGGATTTTGGAAACGTGAAATGCACATTTGTATACTAACATATATTTAAATATACGGTAAAAACACTTTTTGTCAAATTTGGCTGCAAAAATTGAAATGATATGCAAGGTACACGCATACTCATTGTGTAGCTATGTTTTGCAAAAATATATTCTATTAGCCCATCTGTAGGTCAAAATGATAAAAACTAATATTATGAATATTAATTATTATAATTTTGTATGAAAATTCTGTATATTCAAATTTTGTATATTCTATAAGAAAATTTTTATTCCATTTGGTTTTAATTGATTCCGAGATCTTTGAGACACTGAAAGTTTGGTTACAGATCTTATCTTACAAAGTCTTATTAACATATTTCATTTGGAATTGCGTATTAAAATCACCTGCAAATCATAATTTTGATCTAAACGTTATTTTACTACTTTCTTTAAATATTCCAAGTACACAATATTTTCTTTTCACTAATTATATTAGCAACTTTAAATACTTTCTCTAATATTACCAAACTAATAAAAATCAAATATAATTTTAAATTTTTAGATCGTTTTAATTCTAAATTTTTTTTTTGTATGAAACTAGAAATTCATATTTCAAATACAATTAATCATTTGAAATTTCAGTTTAAAAAATTTACTTTTCTTCTTAAACAATTACTTCATTTATTAATAATTTGTATAAACTTTAATAAAAAGTGAAAATTTTCTTAAATCAAACGATTATAAAAAGTTCAATGTTTAAGATCACAATTTTTTATAAGATTACGAATATAATATGAGGTTCAGTTCAAAGAATTTTTTTTTCTTCTTAATTCAACAAAATGCATACATATACTCGTACGTACATAAGTTAAGTATGAAAGCTTTTATAATTTTAATTATATTGGGTTGTATATTTTTATGAAATATTTATGAGCTTTTGTAAATAAATGTCGCACAATTAGAAAAATTCTAATTAAATTAGGTTTTATTTTTTGTTTCATTTTTCTTCATAAGATATCGTCAGATAATTCAAATATCGTCAGAAGATTTGGTCTATGAATAGTACCTATTCAATACTTAAAAATTTACATTTAATGTATGTATTTAAATAATTGTCTGTGAACATAAGTATGTAGGTACTTATATACTTCCTTTACACTTCGTTTTAAGATTTAAGATCTCATTTTGTATTATCACGAAATTAAATTTTGTACGCGTTTTAAACTTTTTCCTTTCAAAATAGAGCACATGAGAAAACTTAAGTCAAAACTTAAAACATCATAGCAATGTTCTTTTCTATCGGGTAAGTAGATCGGTATATATAATTTTCAAAATAATGAAAGAGACTCGTTCATGTTAATTAAATGAATTTGTTTTGAAATGTGTTGAATCCCAGCCAAAAAAACTAAATATTATTAAAAAACAAATCATGCTACAAAAATTTTGGATAATAAAGTTCTAGAACTAAAATATTAGACATTTTTATTCCGGTTTTAAAAATATTTTATGAACCATATTATCAATTTACTCATAATCTTCAAAATATAAATTTTTTTGAAAAATTAAAAATTAAGCGTTCAACTCGAAAAAAATAATATTCGTTAATAAAAACTTGGCTGTAAATTCTATATTTTTTAACCGCGTTTTAGATTAATGAGCAACATTATAAAAGTTGATAGATAAGACCGATGATTCAAAAATTCGTAAACAATAAACTAATAAAATTATTTTAAGAAAAAAATTAGAATGTTTTATCTTCAAATTAATTATTTTATAGCACACTTTTTTCCAATTTGCGTACACACTTTTAAATACATCATCATGGTTAAATCTAAATCCCTCAACAAATATAAATAATATTACATATATATTATAATATAAACTTATACACCATGCAAATGAATTTTCAAAAATATTTACATATAAAAATATGTATATAGAATATGTAAATAATATAATATGTAATATACCATATGTATTGATTTTAACATGTTTTGCTCTTAGAAAATTCGGATAAGACCTTATATTCTTCACAACAATGGTTCAATCAATTGCACAATTCAGGAAAACTCAAGCGATTTTTTGAGATATGTAAGTGTGTACCTAAGTATGTAACTGATAAAAGAAATCTATAAGGCAAAATAGAGAACCCTCAAATTTAACATTGAATTTTTTTGAGTAGAGCGCAGAAGTATGTATTACTGAAAATGTGTGCCGGGTGGGGTTGGTGGTAATCATTTTTCTTTTATAAAAAACACCAAAAGTCCTGCCTACGTATACGAAACTTTTTTTTCTAATTCTTTTTTATAAAAAAAAACACACTAGGTTATATCTGCCTTTAATTAAATATTTCATTTCAAATTTAATATCAATATGTTATTCCAATTATACCATAAAATTCATTATAAAATTCTTAAATTAATCTTCATTAAAACAAATGGATTAAATTAATTCATAATTTTAACTAACCTTTGATAATTTGATGTCATCCATTTTTATTTGAATATTTCAAAACTTATATTTTCTTTTTATGCAAGACTTCTGAAATATTTTACACAAACAATATTTTCTTTTATATTTTTATGTAATTGATATTTTTATTTTTTGAATTATTCCTCAAAAGTTTTTTAAAATCACAAAGTCAGGTCTAAATTTTACAAAAACAGTTTGGATTTTGATTAAAAACAAAACCAAAAATAAGAAAAAAATATACAAATGTCAATATATTTGTCAATGTCAGATGATGATTCCACAGTCTACAATTTTTTAATATCTGCCGATAGGTAACAGCAGCGCTATCTAGTGGTAAATTAAAATATTTACAATCCATATAAATTAATTGTGTATTCTGCAAAAAGTTTTTGTACCCCGATCAACTATAAGATTGTGCGGTTTTCCACAATACGAATATCCTCAAGCTCTAATAATTGAAATGAACTCTATAAAATATTATGGAAATTGGGAATTATTAATTCTGCTCCGAATGTAATAATTAAGAAGCGCAAAAACACAATTAAGTTCTTTAATTTCATACTGTCAAACTGTCATTTGGCAAGAGTAAGAGAAAAATAAATGGAAACCACTTCGTTGTGCAAGGTGATAAGTTTAGTGAATATTTTAATATTTTTGTATAATATATTGAAAGAAAGAATGTAGGTAGTGAAAAAAAAATGAAAGAGATAACTAAAAGAGTAAGATAGATAATGAAATTTTTAATCTGTCTAGGTTTACAATGTTATAGATTACAAATTAATTAGAACACCAGAGATCTGTTAACTGCTACAAAATAAAATATGTGTCATTAATAAAATAGTAAGTACCCTTGTGTAGGCAAACACTCACAGAAAATTATAAGAGTAATTAAGATTATATCGATTTTTAAAAATAAAATTTTGGAAATGACCTGAAAGTCATTCGCTTAGTGTAGAAATGAGTATATTGCGATGATAACTGAAAATAAACTTTTGTCATCCTTAATTTATCTGATTTCTTATTTGCTTTAATACTTGCAGATGTTTTACTATTCCTTTTTGGAATTCTCTAATTATTTGTAATTTACTGTAAAAAAATGTTATCGTCACTAAATAGTAAAAATTTAGATCAAAAGAGTGAATGTGAATGTTTTTAAATCTGTTTAAGATGGCAATTATATATTCTACTTCTATGCTATACTCTTTCGCAGATTCCACCTAATATTGATAAGTGGATAAAATAGTTCTCATTATAAAACAAAGCATTGTCAAGAACCTTTTTCTAGTTTTAAAGAAAATGTCGTGTTATTCCTCAAATGCACACATTCCACAAACAACCAATAAAAATTGCAAAAATTCTGCAAAACTTGGCACATACCACAAAACTAAAATGCGCCATTTTGCATTCCGCGTTATTTATTCCTTTCTTACTCTACCACATGATAAAGCATGCTTTCTTTTTTTAGCCAATGTTTTTAGAGTAAGGAAAGACACAAAAATGCTGTCAGTTCGTAAAAAGTCTTCTTGGCGTTGACAGATGTCATGAAAATGTTTTATTTTGAGTAAAAATAAAAGAAAATCACTTTGAACTTTTTTAAAATTTAATAGAAAAAATTAATCTAGTATTCATTTTAGTAAAAGTTAGCTTAAGTGTCAAATATATAATTAAAGGAAGTTTCACATTTAAATCAGAATTTCATCAGGGAGAAGCAAACACAAAAATTTCTTAAAATAAAATTTTAACCAAATAAAGCGCTGCAGAAAAAAGCACGCAGCCATTTTAATAAGATTTTAAATTAAGCAAAATATATTTTAAATACCAGCAGTAAGTTAATATTCAAAATTCAGAAAATTCCTTTTTTTATTGGTGGTTGTTTTAAAAGTTTTGATTTGGATTTGGAAAGTAGAAAATGTTATCTCCCGATTCAGAACAAATAAATGCTGCTCTTGAGCGCCAGATACGGCAAAATATTCAGGACATGGCAAATGAAGCACAAATTCAAACACAAATAATTAGTCAAGAAGGTAATTATCCTTGTTATTTTTAAAAACGAATTAAATATTCAATACTATTTTAATAAAACAGAATATCAACAAATACCTTTAATTTGTCATTTCTAATTTGCAAAAAAAAAAAACACCGCTTAAATTGTCTGTCAGAACTTACGTAATTTGACAGTTTATTTGATTGACATAAATTAAAAATTTTTTTCTGAATATGCACCTTGAAAATTTAATTCCCATTTATCGGTTTTTTTTAATTATTATTCAATACAAAATATATATACATGTGTAATCCAGAATTTTGAAATATAAAAATCTATGCACATTAAATTAAACTAAACATGGCGTCTATTTTTTTGTATTACCAAATGAAGTGCCAACAACCAATAGATGTATATACATGTACATATATATACAGTATCACATACTTACGTACCTACGTGGATGTACATATATATATAAGTAGATATATAAAACGTAAATTAAACGAACATAGGAAGCGAATGTAATCGTTCTCCGATTGTGGTATGCTTACGCAATTATAGATGTGTGCCCTTTATTGTATCCATTAAATATATTTTTCTAATTTAGTAAAATTAATTTTATATTAAAATTCTTCTATCAGAACTAAATGTCTTCACTGAAGATACTTCACTTAATAATGGATTAGACTAAAATGTCAATAGGACAGTAACATGACACATATTGTCAATTTGAAAATTTTCGACATTATTCTCACTTTGAACGTAGAAACTTCATGGAATATTTCAACTTTAGTAAATTTGATATTATGTAAATAACTCCCGTCAGAAGCGAAGACTTCATTTTTTCAAAATGGATTTTTCTGGGTGGCGAATAAATAATCGTATTTTTTGTTTTATAAAAGTTTCAACATTTCATATATTTCTACTTATCTACATGTACTGAGCTTAGGATTTATCCTTAAATATACCAATACGTGCATATTGCAAATGAACTGCTGCATACAATATATGTACATATCAAAGTCAGCTACCTATCTACGTCTAGTTGTAATAGAAAAATAAATAAGTATATGTATGTAGCATCTAGGCTTTAAAAATTTTTTAAAATTTATGTAGAACAATATATACATATGTATATTAAAGACTAAAAATTAATATTTTTACATAATATGAAAAAAAGAAAAACATTTGGCTATACAATATTACTTGCTATATTACAATAACATATGCTTAAAACTCATTAATAGAAAAGCTTGCGCAAGAAAAAAATTTTAAAAACAATTTTTTTCTACATTTAGAAAATGAAGAAGATGGTTCGGAACACGATGGTATTATTCAAGAAGATAACTTGACAAAAATGGAGTATGACCCTGATATGACAATCAAAGAGGACATTGATATGACTCTTGATGGCACTATTCGAAAACGAAGGGGAAATTTACCCAAACACTCAGTTAAAATATTAAAAAGGTGGTTGTATGAGCATAGATATAATGCTTACCCCAGTGATGCAGAAAAGCTTACTTTATCTCAAGAAGCAAATTTAACAGTACTTCAAGTGAGGCAATTAAATTAATTTTTTTTAGAATATCCAATATTTACAATTTTAATTTACAGGTCTGCAATTGGTTTATCAATGCCAGACGTAGAATTTTACCAGAGATGATCAGACGAGAAGGCAATGATCCCTTGCATTATACTATATCAAGAAGAGGCAAAAAGTTGAATTCCCAAAACAACAGTTTGAACGCGTCAAATGTACCAAATCCAATAACAGGCAGTCCAGCTTCGGAAGTTGTAAGGCTTTTTGTAAAAATTTCAGGAAAACGTCATTAAATATGATTTTATATTTTATTAAGATTGTTGGAGCTACAGAAGAAGTTGAAAATGAAGAAGTACATGATGGAGTTGCAAATGTCTTAACAGCTTTGGGACATCATTTTGTGCAAACGCCCGGTGGTCAAGTTGTAAAAGTTGAACCAGATATTGAATATGAAGATACAGTTATTTATCGGTAATTTTTATTAAGCTAAAATAGTTTTATCGTACTTTTAGTTTTTATTTAAATTAAAAACTGTTTTAAATATCTTAAGATCCGTATCAAATACCTACAATAGTAGTAGTGAAAATTTTCAATTCAAAGTACCCCAGTCAAATTTTCAATATTTTCGACAGCTGCAATCATTAGTTAATAGACCACTTGTATATTCTGAATATTCAAAAAGTTATCAAAATCATAACCCTGAAATCAATTCAGTTCAAATGAAAAGTAATGTTTCCCTGAACGGTTTTCCGGCGAAATATGGTGATAATATAATAAGAAATACAAGACCAAATTTATTTCGAGTAAATAATAATTATTTAAATACTTCCTCAAAACAAAATAATACCTTTGAAAATTCAATAAATTCAAAATTGTATGAAAATTTAAAACATAATAAAAGGTACCTATCTCTATTATAGAAAAGAAAATAAATAAATAATTACATAAATTATGTCATGTTTTACTTCTAAATGGTTTGATTTAATTAAATGTCGCATTTGTAGATCTGAAGATGATAACAGCGTTCACGAGTACGAATCCTGTTCAGCGGGAGAAGATGATGGTTCTAAATATGATAATTCTAACGCATGGCAAGGTGTAATTAGGTAAACTTGAATATTATTTATAGAATGCATTTAAAAATTAGTTTTATTATTCCAAATAATAACATAATTAATTCTAAAACAGCACTGAAGAAGTAACAACAAGTCCATCTAATACAACGTATTGGAGTGCGCCACATCCTTTATCACATTTACAACAAATTCCTAATAGTAATTCTCCAAATGCCATCGGTAAGAAATTTTTTATATTATACTAATTTATACATATATTTTAACTTTTGTACTTTGCTATGGAAATGATACAGAATTAGTAAATAGATGACTGGTAGGTATGGTTGTAAATGACGGATTCGGTGTAAGCATCGAGGATGTGTTGTTGTTGTTAGTACCAATTCCTATATAGAATTGAATCAAAATAATGAGATATGTTGTTGAAACACCAGCAATCTTAAATGAGAACATATTTTTCTATATACACATAAAGCTTTAAGAATTAAATATCTCTAAAATTTTTCAGAATACTTGCACATACCGTATAAAAAAGTGAACAATCCAATTCAAAAAATCCAAAAGCACTATATATTGTTTTCTGTTTGCAAAGTAATTGAAGCGAAAATTGCTCTACCTGAAAACAGTAATTTTAATACTTGCATATTTTAATTAAACCACAAATTTACCATTGTAAGATGATCATCATTTGTAAAAATTATTTTCATTTTATACAAGTTACGTGCTGTATAATAAGACTTAAAACATAAGGTGTTGTTTAATAAAGTTTACGAATTATTTTAATAAAGTTTGAAAAAAATATTTACCTCTTCTTTAAGTAAATGGAAAATAACGGATATTAAGAAAATATTAAGAAAATTTGGTACAATTAAAAATGTAGCACTCAAGGCTTCCATATGTGAGCCTTTGTATAATTTCATGAAAATCCAATAAAATGTTACAGTTAAAGTTATCATATCGTTACCAATACTAAATAATATTGAAAATTTAAATGAATTAAACACAATATCCGTTAAGTCACAGATTTCACTATGCAATTTCTTTAGATGAAGAAAATTATTTATGGAGTCATTTTTTGAAAATTTATGATATACATTCGTTGTTTTAAATTTTTTTGTATCATTTATTAAATTTTTATTTGAGTTAATTAGATATATTTGTTTTAAGTTGAGATTAAGCAATATAAAACGTTGTCTAATCCAAATAACATAAATATATATTTGAAAGTACCTTGAGCCGATGGCCAATAAAACAGCAAAATATAATATAAAGTATAAATTTGATATAAAATATTTTGTTTGATATAGTGCAATACTTAAGCTGTTGCTAAAAGTGTATATTGATAGTAATACAAAAAATACTTTAAAAAATTTATTACGATTAATTTTGAATGTTGCTCTGCTATCAAAATTAAAATAAACATTAAAAATTATATCAATTTTGGCTAATAATTTATAATAATGTAGGCGATTGGCTTTCTTAAAAATTGATTCCAAAACTGATATTATATAAGCAGCACATAAAGTTGTAATTTGCACTAAATTTATTGTATCGCTAGATGATATTGGATTTAAGTTAATAAAAAATTTGTCAATAAGAAAACCTGTAATCAATGTGGTGGTGCAAAGTAGTATAATTAAAAGCGAGTATATAATACTGCTAAATCTAACCGTATTGGACTTTTTTTTTAATTGAAGAATAGTGATTTGTTCTAATCCAAATATATTAAATATAGCTTGAAACAATTTGATACTTGAAAAAATTGCAATCGAATAAATTTGAATATTCTTGGTTGTCATACTGAAATTATAGTCCGCTTCGAGCTCTAAAATATAACCCTTAGAATTTTTTTCTGTTACTGTTATGCTTAAGTAATTTATTTTACTTTAATGATTAATTATAATTTTCATCAGCAGATGTAAAATTTCACACGAATGCACATACATGTTACTCAAATACGAGTATTGAGAAAATATGTATGGTGGAAAAATTTTTCAAAAATGACGACTTTTTGATATATTGTCTACTCAAATAGATTTTATACAATTATCTCAATTAATAAATCAATTTACAATTGTTTTTTTATTTTTTTTTATTTTTCAGTTAGTGGTAATACAGTAACAATTGATGGAACAGAAACTGTTGAAATAGCAGCAGCAACAGTTGGAGCTGAAGCAACAGTTGTTACGTCATCGCCGGTTATATCTGGGAATAACGTTAGCAGTAATATTAACAATAATGATATAAATGTCGCTAACAATAATCATTTATTAACAAATATCCATGCATTAATGGGGCATCAAGGTGGTCACATTGTGAAAGGTAAAGTAAAACAAGCTAGTTTTTTTTTAATGTCCAAAATTTCTTAGAAAACCAAACAATCTTCAAATGTTCATGTAGAGCATCGTTTTACTATCATAAAGAATGTTTTGTTTTATTATAAATAAACTGCCACTATGGAATAATTCGTCTTTCAATATTATAGGTCTTATTCGTGATGAAAAAGATAAATTTAAATGTCTATACCTTTTGGTGGAAACTGCTGTAGCTGTACGTCAACGGGAAAAAGAGCAAGAAGATGTACATGTTGTTGGGAATTGAAATACGATATAATTATTTATTCTTGTATGTGAAATAATAAATAACAAATTCAATTTCTTTATTAGTTAGTATTAAAAATTACAAATTTAAAAATATTCACTGATTAAATTTTTCATTAATTTAGTTTTATTTAATAATAAAATTTATTTTAAATTACAAAAAAACTTTGAATTTTTTATATAATTTTCAATTAAGATTTTTAACGTAATCTTAAATAAAAAAGAATTAAACAAAGTTATTGCTTAAAAGTCGACTCATTAGTAACTTTGTGTTTTAAATTATTGTTTGAATTTATTATAAATTTATTTAAAATAATCACATAATACGCTTTGGTAAACTAATAATTTGTAACGTAATTGTATAAAAATTTATAAAAATTTGTGTTTTAATAACTGTATCATAAAAGCGTTTATTTCTGGATTTCGATTTAAAAATTTGTCGAATACTACATTATTGTGTTGTTCAGCACAATGGCGAAAATGATTGAATTATGCCATTATAGAGTGTTAAATGTGATTTGTATATCATGTTACTTTATATACTAATCTTAAATTTTGAGAAATTCAAATTTGCAAATAAAATCATAGCCCAAGTTATTAAATTAGTTAAAATAATATTATGAAAATTTAAAAAAAAATATTTCTACACCATAACAAACTTATTTAGAAATTTTAGTTAAAATATATCAAAGAAAATCAAATATTAATTTGTATATTATAAACATAGCATAGTAAACATAGCAATGTTCTTTTACAAGAAATATTGACTTGTTTAAAAAGAAAATATAATAAAATAGTTATAATCCTTTTTATAACTTTAACATTATCTAGGATAAATATCTAAATTCGGGAAAAAATTGAAATAAATCTTTTTTCAAGTACATGATGAGATAACTGAAGAAAATTTGACTACTTAAATTGAAATTGCAAGTGAAAAATTATAAAAGCAAAGTATTTAAAAATGACAAAAATAAAAAGCAGTCTTTTAACTAAATATTCAGAATAAAAAAACATTTTTACTGGAAATAAAATGAAATTTGTTATTTTTTTCTTTTGTGAAAGAATCGAAAAGAAAGTTTTCTTTTTTTAATTTGGCTTTGTTAAATATGAATTTTATAAAATTAATCCTTCACAAACATTCAATAGTAAAAAAATTTCGAATAAATTTTTTAGTCTATTGTGCATAGTAAAAAAGTGATTTTACTTTATAACAAAATAAATACTTGCGATTTAATGCAATAAACGAAATAAAACTTGATATGTTTTGATAAATAATTTCTTCAATAACAAAATACAAGAGAAATAAAAAACAATTATTACGTAAATTTCTTAGAACAACTTTTAATAAAAAGTAATTTATACAATTGACGAACAACTAATTTCTTTATTTAAAGAATGCAAAAACAAATTATTGAAACGGAAAACACAAAATACACAATTTGATTATATTAGTTTTCATTTGATTATTATGTATACAACTAATTTAGTTGATAATATAAATTTACAACTTAAAACAGGAAAGGAATGAGAAAAATAATTTTTAAAATGCTGATTATACTACATAATATTATATTTTTAAGTTTCGCGAAGAAGTAATGAACTCCTTTATGTAATTTTAATATTATAATTCATATTACAGTTTAAATTAAAACGCGTTAGATATACATATAAAAAATTTTCGTAAACTAAAAATATGAAACTTTTTTTATAAAAATAATTTTTAATCGTTTTAATTTTCTTAAAATATATTAATTAAAATAACTTTTAATAAGAAACGTGACTATAAGGTAAAATGTATAAAAATAATCTTTTATATAATATATTTGCCGCAATTTCAAAATACATATATGTATATATAATGTAAATGCTAAAAGTAAACATCAAAGAAATAAAAAAAACGAAAATCCACTAAACTTTTTTAATTAAATTTTTATGTAAAATAGCATATTTTTTTTTTTTTTGGGATTTTGAAAAACAGAGCAGATTTTACAAAAAAAGTAAAATAATTGAGGGCAATTAGTTTTTTTCGAACTTATAGTTTTTAAATACTTTCAATATCAGAATAAAACATCAAAATTTAAGAATATTATGTAAAAAAATTAATGAGAGCTGTATTTTATTTAAAAATTTAATGTAAATATAATTGGTAATTATTGTTGTAAATTAGATACAAGTGCTTTAACTGAAATATACGATAAATTAACAATTTGATACATTTTTAATTCGACGGAATTTTTTTTTACAGATATTTAAAATATTTAAAAGTTATTTTTTAAATAATTTTAATATACATATTACTTTCTTTCAAAAATTCCTTTCTTTTATGGTATTTTCTTATTTTTGAAAAAAATTGTATGTAAATAAAACAATAGCATATAGCCAAAATATAAGTGTAAATAAAAATAAAGTATATAAAAGATTTTCAAGACTTTTGTTAATATAAGTAAAGAAAAATACATATTATATAAATTAAATAAGAAATTTAATACAGAAATTAAAAGAAAAAAAACTTATATTTTTTAAGCATAGTAGAAATGTTTGATTTACTAGTTATCTTTACTTATTGCTACCATTGATTTTTAAGACTCGTATATACAATATACGTAATAGAAAATACTATTTACAATATGAAAAAAAATTTAACTAAGAATTATTCTTTGAATAAATAAAATAATAAATAAAATGGTTTTGTTAATAATTGATTTTGTTTTGTGCTACCTTGGACTTGTAAAATATCATATTTTGAACAAAATTAAAATCATCAAAAAAAGTATCCATTTTCAAGAATCATCAATAAAATGAGAAGATTTTTCATTATTTTTGTAAGGTGAATATGGACTTCATCAAAACAACTACATGATTTCTATTCGAATACAAATGATATAAATTATTCTTATTACTATTATTAAGAACTAAAAATTACTAGTTTGACTTAGAGTCAGCCCCGGATTTATCATACATGCAAAGTATGCATTTGCAATGGGCGATAAAAAATAGGGGCGCCATTGAAAACTTAAAAAACCCCTAAATTTAAAAAAAAAAATTTTCGCCCAAAAAAAAGGATTCCAAGTTTTTTTTTATACATCAATTTAAAGCGAAATTAACTTAATAAAATCTACCTACATGCAAACATAATATTTTGTTCCTACACATATTTTCTATTTGCACCATATAACAAAAAATGTTCATAGAATTAAAATTACTCATACATTTCTTTACTCTACACTACTCTTTCATTCTTATTTTTTATGTACTGTATATGCCTATAAACACAGAATATTATTTCACACAGCTGTATACATTCAAACGTTCATATATATAAGTGAAATCGTCTCATATAATATACATACATATATAGAAGCAATGTACGCAACAAATAAAAATATTCAAAAATACACATGTACACATAATTTATATTGTCTAATATGAATAAGATCAACACTCATGCGTACACATATAATTATCTCATAAAGCAAAATTTTTATTTTGCTGAGATTGCTCCCTATCAACACTCGCTCGTACACATATAATTATATCACAAAGCAATGTTTTTATTATGCTTAGTGGCTACACTCGTTCGTACACATTATATTTAAATTGTTTCATACATGCAAAATTTTATTTTTGCTTAGTTGGCGCCCACTCACCAAACAAACAAACACATTATTATAATGTATTACTTTTCTGTATACTATTGCATTAGTAAACAACAAGAACAAAACAAAAAAAACACAAATTAAGAATGAGAATAGAAAGAAATTAGAAAAAGAGAATGAGAGCAATATTCTTAAATGATGGAAAGCATAGCTTGATATTGAGATTGTGTATACCAATATTTTGTTTTTGTTTAACAACAAAAAATTTTGAATGAATTTTAAAATTACATGATCGTTGTGAATTTCTACTACTATGTTCTGCTTTCGTTTTTGAAAAAACTGTTATCAATCACAGAATTAAATTTTAATTGATAAAATCTACTACTTATATTGAATTGAAAAAATGTTGTTTAATAATCAAGTGAATATTAAGAATTTTTATGCTGAATTGATGTGGTGTAAGTCATCCAAAAAATAAGAGTAAAATGAAATGGCGCATAATTTGCTTCACACATTTATCTCCAAAATTAAAACAGTTAAGCAAAACGACATTCTGAAATTTCAAAACCACGAGCCTATAAATACCAGTAAATGCATTTATTTTAATAAAATCTAAAAAATATAATGAACAGTATAAAAGCTTATAGCTATGTACATGAAAAGCTTAGTTTTTAAGTCACAAATTTTAGAACGAAACTTTGATTTTCCTTAAATTTTTGAATGCAAGTCGAAACTTTTTTTATACGCTGCTTCATTTCTCAGGCGATTTGTGAAATAAAAAGCCAAATTTTACGAATAAAAATAAAAATAATTATAAAAATAAAAATAAAATTACGAATAAAAATAAAAATAATTTTTTACTTTTTTTCATATTCAAATAAGCTGTGACAAAGTTCATTTGATATAATTTTCATAGAACCTTTTACAATAAGTTTCACTTACGTCAAAAAGTAAATTTTTTGGTTGTTAAAATCAAAAAATCAAGTTTAAGTGATTGATATAAATCTGATCATAACTTCATAAAAAAACGTACAGTTAAATAAATTACCTTGTTTTTGAATTTATAAAACAAAAAATTGAAAGTTTAGTTCCAGACTTTAATTCTATAATTCAGCACAATAAGGTTACAAGAAACTGCTTTATGATGCACAATGTGCAATGCCTATTAAATTTTGTTCACAGTAATAAAATAGGTGAAAAGGTTGAAGGGGAGGGGGGGGGGGGGCGCACTTTTTAGGAACCGCTTAGGGCGACGAATACATCAGAACCGCGCCTGCTTAGAGTGTATTGTTTTATATATCCGAAGGGTAGGTATTATATATACGTGTAAGAGATACGTAAAGAGAATTTTTATAAATAAAAGAAAAATAGTTTTTAATGAGTTTCTCAAAATAGTTCTCTATAAAGTAGGATGCGTGCAATAATGTTTCATAATTATGTTCATACTAAAATAGAAGACACACATAAAGGTTTAAGTGGACAAATTAAAGTTAAAAAAATTTAGTAAATATATGTATAAAGATTGCTATGCCCATATTGTGTGAATTATTTTAGATATGTTGAATAAGACTGTTCTACAAATATGAAAAAATAATATAATCATATACTAAATAGTGCAATATTTTTCTTATATTCTACTCCTATAATTGAAAATTTATTTAGGTACTTAATACACATCACATCATCACTTGTTAATGACTTGAATCTATTACCTTCTACTTGTACATATAATGTTTTTAGTAATTGTACTTCTTTTTATGCTTTTGTAGAAGATTAATTTATATTCATCATATTTAAAACTTTTCGGAATATCAATAAATTTAACGCTTTTTATTCTTTTTCTAAAATTTCTTGATTAAATAAAATCCAATTTTTAACTCAAATAAACTGAATTTAAAATAAAAATAATAAAAGAGGCGCTAAAATAACAAATTACTATAAAAAAGAAACTGTGTCAAATGCAAGTGTTGTACACACAAATAGCTTTGTATGAATATTTACGTACACAAAGCTACAGAAGCACCTAAATTTTTAAAATTAGCTAAACAAATATGTACGTACAACATTCCTTTAGCAAAAAAAATGATGAATAAGATTATAATCATAAATTAAAAAGTGTGCTCAATAATTTTTGGAGTGCGACATTAAAAAAATGATGATTGAAAGCAATTAAATGCAAACAAATGGTAAGTATGTCTTTTTCTTACTTACTACATATATATATACATATGTACTTTAAAGATTTTCTCTAAACCTCAATATATGTATAATATTTGTATT